TATATATCGGCTTTAAGACGGGAAGGGGCGCAGAGGAGCATCAGGTGTGACTGAATGGTGACCTCCTCATCACCATCGTGTCGGGATGATCCCCCTTAAATCCTTCTTTGCCCTAATCCAGCCGTCCCCCAATTCCTGCAACCGTTCTTTCTACGTTTTTTAGCCTCCGGGCTTTTAATTGTCTTAATTGCTGATGATTAGAGGATTGGACCAATGTACAATGAATGGTTGCAGGAATTGGCCATGGCTAATCTAGGGAAAAGAAGTGGGGTTTTTTTTTGGGGGGGGGGCGGCTTTTAAGAAGGGATTGGACATCCGTCTGTCTGAATTGGTATAGGATCTCCTGCTTCAGCAAGGGGTTGGGCTAGACGACCTCCAGGGTCCCTTCCAGCTCCATTCTGATTGACTGAAACGGTCTAGGTCTCCTGCTTGAGCAGGGGGGGGGTTGGACTAGATGACCTCCAGGGTCCCTTCCAGCTATTTATTCTGATCGATTGGCGTGGCCTAGAGTCTCCTGCTTGAGCAGGGGGTGGGGTTGGGGTTGGACTAGAAGACCTCTAAGGTTCCTTCCAGCTCCACTCTGATTGACCGAAATGGCCTAGGGTCTCCTCCTTGCAGGGGGTTGGACTAGACGACCTCCAGGGTCCCTCCCGGCTCCATGCCGACCGACCGATCGATTTGAAATGGTCTACTGTTGTCCTCCCTGAGGTGGGGGGGGGGGGGGCTGGACTGGAAGACCTCCAAGGTCCCTTCCAGCTCTATCCGGACCCTTGCTGCTTTTCTCACAACGGTCCCGGAGTTACGACTGCGCTGAGCGGGGCTGCCATTGGAGGACTTTTCCCAGAGCGTTTCGGCACCTCGGCTGATCGAAACTGGTCCCAGTGGGACCTCCCACCCTCGTCCTCACACGTCTGTGGGTTTGGGGGATAGCGGGGGGGCTGCCTTTGGCCCGAGCCCACGACCGCCGTTTCCCAACGAGCGCGTATCCGGGGAAAGCCGGGGCCCGATGAAATCCAGGTTGCGCTACAATGCGGATTCTTTGGCTGAACTTCACTTGAACCCAGAAGCGTATTGCTAACAATGATCCAGTGATTACCTGCTTAAGGGGAGGGGACGGCGGGGGGGGGTCATTTCCCCCTTCCCCCCCCCCCCCCCCCCGCCCTCAGCCCCTCCCTCCTCCTCCTCCTCCTCCCCTCTCCGCCTTTCGTCCTCTGGCCTTTTCCCTTCGCACACTTCCTCTTCGCCAAAACAGAAAGGGGGAAAATTGATAGTAACAAATAAACTCCAAATGGCTGTTTGCACACCGGGGCGACAACACACACCCAGGTTGGCAAACCCTTTCTGCCACTGATTTTCATTTTAATTCAGATTCTGCAGTTTCCTAAAAATAATAATAATAATAATAAAGTGCCAGTTGTTTGCCCATGTAAGTGTGTGCAGTGGTGTGCAAAAGAGAGAGAGAGAGAAAGAGAAAGGAAGAGAGAGAGATAAAGGAGAAAGAGAAAAAAGAAAGAAGAGAGATAAGAGAAAGAGAGAAAGAGAAAGAGAGAGGAAGAGAGAGATAAAAGAGAGAGAGAAAGAGAGAAAGGGAGAAAAAGAAAGAAATAGTGAGATTTAAAGAGAAAGAGAGAAAGAGAAAGGAAAGAGAGAAAGAGAGAGAGAGAGAAAGAGAAAGAAAGAGAGAGAGAAAGAGAAAGGAAAGAGAAAGAG